TGGGTTTAGGATTAAGGTGAGTGCTAGGCCAAGGGTTAGGGTCAATATCGGGATCAGAGTTCCCGAGTGGGGCGACTTGCAAGTACATTTTTTTTGTAGTGAGAAAACATTTGGTATATTGACCTCCTTGAGCACTCTGTTCCGGTTGAGAAGAAGCAGATGTAATCGCTGGGACAAGAATTTTATTCACCTGACATTTCAAAATCCGTTGCGATGTCGGGATCAGAGTTCGGGTTAGGGTCAAGATTAAATGAAGGCTTGGGATCTGGGTTCGTATTACTTGTAGGTTTTAGATTTAGGCTGGAGCTAGGATTGAAATTAAGTTTGTAGTTTGGATTACTTGCTACGGTTCTTGTTGCGGTTAAGAGATGGGAATATTTATCACAAGATCTCCTCTTTAAGTGGGCGGAGGATTACTATTCCTCTTTAGGCGGCCCTTTACACGGCCCTCTTTGGACACAATATACGCCTAACAGACTGCCAACGTGCATATTCTAGCTCATTTAATAGGACCTATCTTCAGCTCTCCTGCATGTGTTTTTGAATCTCCTCAACCTACGCAGTCTAACAGAGATGGGCATTTTGGACTCCGCCAGCTACAGTCGGCTCGTTTTCGGATCCTAATAGTTTGCCTACTGTGAGCTACGAGGCCGTCCCTCTGCCGAGTGGGGCGACTTGCAAGTACATTTGTTTGTAGTGGAGGAAAATTTTGGTACACTGACCCTCCTGTACTCTCTCCCTGAGCACTGTGTTCCGGGTGAGAAGAAGCAGATGTGATCGCTGAGACAAGAATTTTATTCGCCTGACCTTTCGAAATCCGTCGCGGAGCCCTCATCAGAGACGAAAGCAGAAACAGGTAATTCACACACAGGGAGTGGCGGTATGTAAAGGATACAGTCACTCAGAAGAAGAAGAAGATGCAATCACTGGAACAGGGGTTTTATTTTCCTGATGTTTCGGATTCTCTCGGGAATCTTTAATCATGGGTAATTGTAGGAAAGTCGGAGACATGCGCAGTCACTATGCTACTGCACGCTTATGACAATTAAGGTCTCCCCCTTTCGAGGATAATTGTTTACTTATGCGCTAATTGCTTGATGGCCGGCATGCGGGTCGTGACCTGCGGAACTTTCATTTTACATGATGGAATCTGGCGTCATGACTGCTCAGCCATCTGGCTCTCTGACGGTGGCGTTAGACGATGCGGTGGCCTGTGCGTTTCCCAAGTGGCGAATTGTTTTGGCCAAACTAAGCCTCAGCACCGAATATGGGTTTAGGCAGGTCGTTGCGTTTGTTTATAGACTGGAAGCCTGTAAACCATGACCGAAGTAACTCACAGCTAATATGACTATCAGCTCTCGCGAGAATTTCGGCCTCATCATATTTGGATGTGTGGCCGGGTCTCCTCAGATGAGCCGAGACTTGAGAATTGGCAGAAAGACTAGCAGAGGGGCGTGAATGCAGCGGCTCTGACACTGATGTGTTTACATCAGTGTTTGGCCTGGGTGGCATGATTCCGCCACAAACAGCAGGTTTAAATGCGAAGCAACCATTGCCTTTCGACCCTCAGTCATTAATGGGACAGGGCTACCTCTCTGTTTGGGACAGACTTCGCAACTACGACTGTCGGTGGTGGTTTCAAAATGCGTCTGGCTGCTTAGAATAAAGAAGGAAAATGGCGGACCCAAGCTGCATCGATCTAATTCCTTCGTTCCATCCCCAATAAATCCTAACTGAATGCAAATATAGGCACAACTCCTGCATACTTGTGGGATGCAAGAAAGGAACGTTTAGGAGGTGATCGTGCCCGCTTAATCGTTGCGATACAGCGAGATGGTATTACCTTCTCAGTCGGCTGCCTTTAAAAACGCAACTTATGGCACGTTATGATAGAGTCGGACGCGGCAGATATATCATAATATATATAATATATCGTGTGTTCTCCACATACCTTTCTCTTTCCCTATCCCTCACTGACCAGTACAGACCAGTCCGCTGGCTAATAAAGAGGTTGCATTACCGACAAAGATGAGAGGGGCTGGAGCGGCCGTTTCTGGCTTATTAGCCGTCGTCAGCCAGTCCCACCCAACCCAAGTGCAGCACCATCAGAGGCTCAAACTCACAACCTTTTAATCAGAAGTCTTACGCTCTAACCAGACCAGCCTCTGTTGGTGCACCACTTGGGGTCGGGTATGACTGGCTGACGACGGCTAATAAGCCAGAAACGGCCACACTACCCCCTTTTTTCTTTGTCGGTAATGTATTTCTGTCTACAATACGCTGGCCGTTGGGCAGCTGTTGGCGGGGCTTGAGAGTGAGCCCGAAGTCAGAGCGGGACGAGGGAGTTCCGCCATCAGCGAGTGACCATAAGATCGCCCGCAATGGCTAACATGGCGTTGGCCTTCCTGTGTCGCGTACCAAACATAAGCACAGCAGTAGTTAAGGGCCCCATCAAACTCCGCACAGATCCACGAACGGATGTACTGAACC